TGGACAGGGTAATGGCCAATTTCCTCCCAACTACCAGGACTTTGGTGGTCAGCCAAACCAACAAGTTTCGGGGGCATACGGACAAGGCAACTTCTCTCCAAATGCGCCACCTGTGACTCGTGGCTCTGTTAGACAGGTTCAGCCAAACTTCCCGCCTCCGGCAGTTTCCAACCCTCAACAGAAGGTACTGCAACACCAGGTGCAGCAACAACAGATGCAGCAACAACAGATATTGCAGCAGCAGATGTCGCAGCAGCAGATGCCACGGCAAACAAACCCCCAGCCAGCCGCTATTCTTCACGTGAACTCTCAAGCGAATTATGCTCCTTTGACTTCGTTAAGCCACAATAACAATGACCAAAGCTTTTCTCCGCAGCTGGGCGGCGAACCTGACGCTACTAGTTCCCCTCATGTCAATGGGCAGCACTTACAGCCCCATCAACGGGGCGCTCAGATTGCAGTGCAGATGCCGCCGAGTAGTACACCAGCGAATGAGTCGACGCTTGAAAAGATGTCAGTTGATTCAGTCGTCTAGCCGTTCNAGACTTGCGGAGCTGAGAACACTGAACTCAATGTTTCAGCGACAAGAGGCTGACAGAGCCGGGATCATATTTGACAATTCGAGGATGTATGAAAGCATAATGAGTATGGCAATGAAATTGGTTGAAACCGTTTCCGCTGTGTAAGGAACCTTTATTTTATTATTCTTATGTTTTCCTCGTCAGGAGCTAATCGCAAGACAAGAGGTGTGAATGTCCACAGACAGTGAGTCAAACACGCAGCCATAGTAATTCCTGACTCCCAATTCGAGCTAAGATCTACTCAGATTTAGTTTTCAAACGGCTAGGAGTCTTCAAAACGATGCGGAGGCCAACTTCAACCACCTAAGTGGGCGATATTCAACAGACGGAAATGGCTACATAAGCCAGTCAGTCACCATAGACCCGCAAAACATTGACCCGCAAAACTCCAATCAGCAAAACTCAAGCCAGCAAAATATGAATCATCCAAACTTGGACCCAGCAAACATGAACAATCAAAACATGTAATATAAATGAACACGTATTAATACCTGCCTGGTATTTAGCACAACACATTTAGCTAAGAATTGACCTGCACTCACGTGCGCACGTTTGTTTGCTCGCTTACTCTCATCCAATTGCTTTGCGCATTCTACAATGCTTCGCCGTAAGCCTGCATTCCAGCATCTCAATTTCGGCGTGACCACGCCGTACCCCGTAGTCTTGATCTGCCGGCACCCAAAAGAAGACTCCGCCCGGTCTCAGGAGATCCATACGTTGATCCCAGGTCAACAGCNGTCGCGCAGGAAGTGAAGAATGTTCCTGTTCTTCAATGCATACTTGGTGCGAAGAAAGATTAACGCGATGGTGGCTCAATTATACGGCTTGGATGACGGGACCAACTGCAGAGGAAACCCGAGCGGCATCCAGGTAACCACTGATGACTCGCTCAAGTGGGAGACACGCAGCGGCGCAACATTTGAAGCGAGCAAAACGGCAGTGGTCCACTTCACTTACTTCACGAGGACTGCTTCACGGCCCAGTAACGGCCCATACCAGATTAAAGGAAAAGATTTCAAACCAAAAAGTAGCGTAAAGGCCCTGGGGGTAGTTATGGATGCGAACCTGCGGTACAAGGAACACATGACTAGAGCAGGTGCTAAATTCCTCGCGGCTGCCCCGTGCCTCAGGAGATTGAAGATGCTTTCACCTCGAACGGCTGGACAACTCTTCGTGTCGACCGTCGCACCTGTCGTAGACTACGTGTCGAGTGTTTAGATGCACTCCTGTGCTGCGCAGGAACTGGCAAGGCTAAATAGACTGCAGATGGTGGGCGCACAGGCGATCACAGGAGCCTTCAGCAAGGTGGCTACAGCAGTGGCCGAAGCAGAGGCCAGTATCCAAACAGTGCAGGAACGACACACTCAAGCGGCAAGAAGCCTCTGGGTCAACGTTTGCACACTTCCGCAGACACATCCATTGGCGAGATCGATATACAAAGCGAAACGACGATTCGTATCGCCAATGCAGAAAATCGCCCTGTCAATGGCAAAGACCAACACGGAACGCCTGGAGACAATCCACGAGATACAATACCACCCTGGAGTGATCGCATACCCGTATTGGGCGAGCTGCGTACAGAGGACTGCACAAGGTGCGCGTTCTCCATCGCGACGCACAGCCTCGTAACATCCTATACAATACGACCAGCCGGGAGTTTATGGTTGTGGATTTTGAGCGAACGGAGTTCCGCTGTCGCCGGCCCTTAGCCTCAATTGAACCAAATCGGAAGAGGAAGAGGAAGCGAACAAGGGACGACTTTACGAGAGAGGTGGAGTCTGCTGTCGCAAGGGCATCAAGTTGTGTAGCGAACTTGTCCAGTCCCGCGGCGACAGCAACCAAGGAGTACTGTCTCACGGTTGGGCCAGTTCGCCCAGCAGGTTCTGTTGAACGTGTTGTGAAAACCGATCAGCTGAAATACTACTTCGACAAGGGTTTGGCGTTAGACCAACTATGGAAAATGTGATAGGTTAAGCGCCAGCATATAGGCAAGTTGTCAGACAATTGAGGGCCATAAAAGATCGAGTATAATGGCGCCGAAGGCGTCAATTGTTTTGAATGAGAATTATCTAAGGAGCATCGTAATTGTATAAAAGAGACTGCAGGACTTCTCTCCGAGTCCGCTGCCGGGTAGGCTTGATATGCGACACAAGTTTCACGACTCGTGTTTGGGAGCCTTTCCACAAAGAAACAACATATTTGGCATGCTGAGTGCTTCTACACCAGAACAGCCTGTCCATCTTACACCTAGAACNATGGTTCCGTGACAACCATATCAGTCGGGCGACAAAGCTAGGCAACTTTGCGTCTGCTTTATCGTGTCAATCCTTCGCGCACCGTCATCACGCAAGCCGTGCTGCCTAGAGAGGGGGCCGGCTTGATATGCCGTCCCTATGCCTCAAACAAGCCCATCACGGTGGCAATGATGCTTATGCTGGTCATAGAACTCAACACTCTGCAAGCATCAGGAAGCAGACAATATCATGCAGGCAGGCCACACGGAGAAGCAGCATGTCTCTTGCATCACATTTTGCCGCCCGTTGTTAGCCAATAAGACAGCGTTGTGTGTGTGTGTTGGTGATATGAGGGTGCCCATAGTATCGGCACACCTTAGTATATTTAAGAGGAATTCACAAGTTCGTCCTCGACTGAAAAGGTTTCGGTTAAATCTTTTGTCGTTAATTTGCCCATTTTCGCCCCATCCCAAACCAGTTCAAGTGTGCTCGCTTTAAAGATGTTACAAAACGGATGTTGGGTTGCTGAGATGTTTTTAGAACGGGCTTTACCAACTATTATACGTTGACGAGCCAAAGATCGTTGTTCATACGACTAAATACCAACCCATCAAACCCCAGATAGTAAACGTCGGCCGAGTGGTACCTAAATGCCGGGTGGCGCGGTTACTGTACGTATGGTACACAATTCCAGCATTAACATAGGAAGATCGCCTGGCTGGTTATGGCTGAGGGCCAGGAGTAACTTACTTGGCAACCTGTTTGCCGATTCTATCAGCAGAAAGCCGCCACTCCTTCCTGCAGGTGTGGGGCGGGCGAATACACTGGCCTTGGGATGAAAAGTTTTAGGGTGAAAAGTTTTAGGGGGTTGCTTTTGGCAAATATCTATCCCAGTTCGGCTTCACGACTCATCTCAACAACGGGTTACTGCTGTACTGTACCATAGAGTCGCTCTGGCTTAACAAGAAAGGATGCCAAAGATCGGTAGGACATGGACGATTTAAGCCAAATCAATGTACAATCAGTGTTTGCAATGCTGACAAACACCATTCTTGTGACGATTCAAAGTTGCACATAATGGCACCCAAACTTCAGGCCGACGTTTTCAGATAACTGTTGGTGATTGGACACCTGCCCATCCTTGATCTCACCAAGGTACATAACGCTTAAGCTGGCAGGCACAAGCCCTGATTTACTATGGGTCAACCCACCTTGACCGCGACTAGGTGTTCACCGGAAGCTTGCCCCGACACCAAACCCTGTTCACAGCCCTGCTCTCACCCTTGTCCATATCCGACTTCCAGGGTTCTAGGCTGGTAGCCCCCCACACACAGACATGGTGCCCCCTTACCCAGAATTGGGTGGTAGTGGTGATGTCTTCACACTTTGATCAAGAGCCGCTTGTTGACGCTGACTGAAGCTTTGTTTGAATCACTCCTTCCAATTCTGTGCAAAAATGTTCTTCCTCTCCACAAGGACATTCGTCAAAAATT